CATCTCTTATTGATCCAGTGTTACTACAAGAGGAAACCTAAACTAAACTAACTTTATTTATACTGGATAGCTCTATCAGTTCTAAACTGTTCTTCCTAGAGGTCCAGTAAGGATCATCTCTTATTGATCTAGTGTTACTACAGGAGGAAACTTTATTTATACTTGATAGCCCTATTGTTTTTTACACAGATGGACATTACAGATAAAGAATTGCATGAAAGAGCTAAGGAGATCCTTCTTGAAATGGGTGAATTTTTTCAAATTCAGGTATAAAGGAATATGTTCTCATCTAATTTTCAATTAAATTTAACCAACCTGTCACACCATGCTCTAACCATGCTCTATATGATCTAACCATGCTCTGACCATGCTCTGACCATGCTCTATATGATCTAACCATGCTCTGACCATGCTCTGACCATGCTCTGACCATGCTCTAACCATGCTCTAACCATGCTCTATATGATCTAACCACGCTCAACACGTCTCTTCAGGACGACTACTTGGATTGTTATGGCGACCCAGCGGTGACTGGAAAAGTTGGGACAGATATTGAAGATACGAAATGTTCTTGGTTGTTGGTGGAAGCTTTACAGAGGGTTGACGAGGAACAGATGAATGTATTGCAGGTACTATATAGTTGGTGGTGGCACAGCGCACGTGCCGTTCACGTGACCCGTGGAACGTGCTTCCACAAACCCCAGCAACATCAATTACAACAGCGACAGGAACAACAACAACACTATGATGTCAACAACAGCAACAACACTATAACAATAACAATAACAACAGCAGCAACAACAACACACACACAAACAAACAAACAAACAAACAAACAAACAAACAAACAAACAAACAAACAAACAAACAAACAAACAAACAAACAAACAAACAAACAAATAAACAAACAAACAAACAAACAAACAAACAAACAAACAAACAAACAAACAAACAAACAAACAAACAAACAAACAAACAAACAAACAAACAAACAAACAAACAAACAAACAAACAAACAAACAAACAAACAAACAAACAAACAAACAACGATAAACCATATTAAAAATGGAACAAAATATTATCCAACATAAAATCTTGACCACTTTTTCAGAAAAACTACGGAATCAACGATCCAGCTGCTGTTGCAAAAGTCAAAGAAGTGTACTCAAAATTGGACATGAAATCTGTCTACCATGAATACGAAGAAAGCAGTTATGGCAAATTAATGCAACTGATTGATAAAGCACCCAGTGGTCTGCCTAAAGAAATCTTTACTGAATTAGCTGCCAAAATATACAAACGAGACAAGTAGAATGTATTTTTTTAATTTGAGTAATATCAGGAACAAATTCCATACCGTGCAATTGGGTAAAAAGGAGTAAATTGTAAACTAACTTTATTTATTGTAATCTGCGTGCAGTCTCGTAACATGGAACGATGCAGGATCTTGCATCATAGCTATATTTTATATACTGGATAGCTCTATCCTAAAGCCTGCATGGTAAAATACTTGCTTGTTTCCAAGGGAAGGAACTGCACGAAGTTGCCAAACAAACAGCGAATCGTTAATTTAACACCGAATATCTTCAATTTAGGTCAATGTATTTTGATCAATTTAGGTCAATGTATTTGAATAATACGATAAGTAATATCAAATTGCATTCTTGTCATATTGTCGCAACGACATATAATCACATCGTTCAACCACAGGGTTCAACAGATAACACGGCGCCTTTACTAATTAAGGTATGGCACATTAATGTATTATTAATACCCTCGCCAACATGACCCTTGCAGGCCTTGCTTGCCCTTGACTTGCCCTCAGTGGCTAGTGAACGTGTC